CTCTCTCTCGTTCATTCAGACAGCATACACAACCAACACTCCTTATCTCCCTACATTCAGAAATAGCCTCTCCGTTGGGCGTGGAGTCGTCCATTCTCTTACGGTTCCGGGGTTCGTGTACACAGCCAGTCTCTAAACTTGAGGAAGAACTCGGCCAGCAAGTGTTCCTCAAAGTTGCCGCTCACATCCAGAGTGTTTTAGGCCAGGGCAGCCTGAGTGGTCAGCTGAGAGACGGGCTGCGAGTGGAGCTAAAGTGTGACGTCATGCCGGAGCAGACGTCGGAGGAAAGAAGGAAGCGGTCGCCGGATGAGGGTGCTACAGAGGAAGGATTCATCAATGTGGTGGTCATCTTGCACTCAAACTGGAGGTGAGATCTGGTTTTGTTGGTTTACTTGAATTCCTGGAGAGAGAGAGAGAGAGAGAGAGAGAGAGAGAGAGAGAGAGAGAGAGAGAGAGAGAGAGAGAGAGAGAGAGAGGTTAATTTCTTGGCAACCCGAGCGTTCTGAACTCAGGTGTTTTTTGGTTTGTTTGTTTGTTGGTGTTTCGGCGAGGGGGTTTTGGCTTTTCTTTTCTTTCTTTTTTTTCTTTTTTCAACTTCAAAAGACTGTTGACAAGTACCTAGCTCGCTAAAGTGGGAGGACAACTTCTGTGAGTTTCGATTGACATCCGTAAATAGCCGTATCACCGAATATAGAATAAACAATACAAGGAAGCAGTTAGCTTATTGGACTTACTGTTGATTCGATTGTTATGCTGACAGTCATTCTGGGCACTCATGTCTAATAAAACGTCTGCGTCTCCTAAAATGGCGTCAGCAGCTTGCAGCTTAAGAGGTGGTGGGGCACCTGAAGTCTCTCATGTATAACAGGGAACCTGAAATCTATTGTTAAAAAAATTAAATATGTTCGATTGCTATGGAAACGGTGGCCATATTGGATTTTGTTGACCTATTTTTATTCTTTTTATTCACATGTTTATCAACATATATATTTTTAATTCGGCACGTACGTAGAAAAGGTGCTCATCTAATAATTTCCTTGAGGAATTTTTGGTACATAGTTTAGTTTTCATTTTACGGCACATAAAATTCGGCTTATTGCGTGACTGTCAAAAAAAGCAGAAAAACCAAGCTTTCTGGGGCCATTAATCAAAAGCTACATATGCAGCAAAAATTGCTCGAGACAGTTTTTAGAACTAGGAGTCGTTAACATTCTGTAAAAGGCACGTTACAATTTTTTTTAAAATGTAGAGCAGAAAAATGGGATGAAGTATGGAAAAACAGCATTTTGAGAAAACGGCTGATAGAGGTCAAACTAGACTAAAATAGTTCTCTTTCCAATAAAAACCTTCAAAACATATTCCGAACTAAAACATAGCAACTACTTGATAATATTAACACAGCAGTGATAGAGTGGGGGTTTCCTACTAAAACTGAAGCATATAAGCGGAGCAAAACATGCTTTATAAGACAAGAAAGTGGCAATTATTGTCTTTTATAACCCCATCTTAAAAAAAGAAAGCAACGTGCATATTAATGAAAATCATACACACACCCTTTTCTCTAAAAAAATCCCTTCAAACACCATTTTAAGGTACAGAAACGCGTACATACGTTTTTGGACATTGTTCAGAAATAATCCAGGAAATAGAATAAGTCATAACCCAAGTTTTCATATTTTCACCGAAAAACACCATTTTTAGGTGCCTCACCACCCCTTATGCACCACTTGGACTTCTTCGGCAAAGGTTACTACTGCTGTTTAAAGCGAAAGTAAAACGTTTAACAAAGTAATAATATTCCGAAAAAGGCGACACACCACGAAACCCCAAAAGCAGTAGGCTACAGACCGCGCAGTCTTTTGGCAGCGTAACTCAAAAAGTGATATCATTGGTCGGAGTGTAAGCTACTTTTTACTATGACTCTAGTTCTGAAATGTCATTGTTATTTCTGGAAGCTACGACACTAAGTTCCTCCTGACTGAATGTTATGATGCGTCGATCTTGCATTGGTTTAAGCTGAGAGGCTGTAGTTGCATTCATGCACTGTGTGCCGTAGTCAGACAAATAGTGTACACCCTAGGCGATCATAAATATATATGACCGTCTAGTGTACACCATATCCTGTGCCCTCCAGTTAATACAAAACAGCGCTGAACTGTTGAATATCCAAAATGAATGTGTTTCGATCAGAGCAGAGATTTACAAAACAAAACAGACCCCAAGTCTGGAAGAGTATACGTGCTTCTGTGAAATGTCATACAGAAATTGTTCGTGTGAGGACACATTTGCCTTGAGAACATTAACGAAAAAAAATCTCCTCTTTATTCAAATTTGCATTTTTTGGAAAATTCTCAGTATGGACTGCTGCCACCTTAAAGAAGATTATTTCGATCGTTCTATGAACATACAATATTTCGGTATTGAGATTTACGAACAAAAGTCTTGTGTAAGAAACTGGATTTCGACAAATCCTATCTTGTCGCATACTGTAGTTTCTTTTTTCGCGACATTACCCAAGAAAAAGCATTCGATTCTGGGAAATACATGTACATATTCGTTGTTTTTTGTGTGTTCCATGGTTTAGCAGTTCAGCAAGCGACTTCCCTAGTACCGGGGAGGAGATGTACAATGCGAGTTTACGACTGACCAGTGTGCTCAACAACAGTCGGGATGTCTTCGAGGCAGGAGGTACCGCTCTCACGACACAGTCTGCACAGTTACAAGCGTTTCACTTTCTATGTGACACAGGCTTTTCCTACCAGAAAGGATCTTGTGGTAAGAGCTAAGGCTGTAACAATCGGTTACACATTCTTATTACATCGAGGCGACATTTATCAAAGGTGGGAAAACTTGGCTTCGTGCCTTCACGTGTTGGTAAATGCTTAAGAAAAGTTTTTGTTGCCACAGTTTATAAATATATTCACACACACACACACACACACACACACACACACACACACACAC